TGTGTGTGTGTGTGTGTGTGTGTGTGTGTGTGTGTGTGTGTGTGTGTGTGTGTGTGTGTGTGCATGCACAGTGGAGCTGCTGTTGTCCATGTGTAGTTCCAGCTGTATACCAGGAGGGGGCAGTAACACAGAGCTGACTCTGCACTGTCTGCACTACTGTCAGGGGAACACAATGGTAAACTGTGCAAAGGGGAATATTTTCGTCCCGTCATTTCTTTAATCTTCACTAATTAGTTTACAATGTACTCATTTCAATCCCTTTCATCATTCCTCCATCCATCGCGACTCATTTCCATGCATCACTACTCACCTACTCATTCTCTGTCATTTCTTTCTACCTGCCTTTGTTCCTCAATCATCCATATCCAGTTCATTCTCTTCAGAGCCATTGCATGACTCATCTGTCTGTTCTGTGCCTCCTCCGTCCCTCTCTCCTGCTCAGGTCACACTGGACATGCTGCTGTTTTCACAGCCCTCGCCAACAGGAGACTACCACTACTCTGGTAACCTTTCACCTTTGGCTTCTCTCTTAACTCTTTGGGTTCCCTATGCATGTTGAGGGATCGCTCCTAAATTACCACCTGCTGTTCAGACCGCTCTTTGGCTTGATTATGGCTATTCAAACTGAGTTAACGTCACTCGCAAATTCAACCAGGACAGAAATAGGAAGGGAAGTGGGATAAACTTAAATGTGTTGCAGTGAAGGCAGATTGGTGTTTCTCTGCAACAGCCAACAGTTGTATGAATCTCAAAATGTGACTCAGCAAAGGACTAACCGTTCCTAGTGCTCTGTATTTACAATAGTAGGCTTTGTAGAAGCCCAAACCTCCTGCCACTTTCATCACGTGCAACCTCCACTCTCTCTCTCTCTCTCTCTTTTTGTTTCTTTGGTGCATTCAAGTCCCCCAAGAATCACGTAAAGTACAGAGTACGCATTGTTCTGCATACAGTGTTCACTTAGGTGGGTTTATTCCTGTAGTCAGGGGTAGTGTTAAAGGTCTTGGGCCCCCTGACAACAATTTCACAACATTCTAGATGTCTTAAGTCCCAGGTATGTTTGTGTGTTGTCCTCAAACAACCTGTTTATCTGTTTATCTATCAACTCTTCCCCCTCCCCCCACCCTCTTCTCTCTCTCTCTCTCTCTCTCTCTCTCTCTCTCTCTCTCTCTCTCTCTCTGTAGGTAGTGATTGTTGGACAGACAGTGAAAAGAGTCTCTTCAGTGCAACTCTGGGAACTTCTGGAAAAGACTTTTCACTCATCCAGAAAATGGTATACCTGTTTTTCCCTGCTTGTGCTTACACAGCATTTATTTTAATGGTGGTCAGCCATTGAGCCAGTTTTGTCAAATCGACACATGGAATAGAAAATGAAAAAGTGAAGAATTCACGTTCATTTGGTCCACCGCTGCACCACTTAGTGGTTGTTTTTGTGTTCTTATGCAACTATGCGATTACCAAAAGTGCACCAGCACCTTCACTGTGCAGCTAACTAAGTGAAAAAGGCTGCATATTGTAACCTGTTTCACAAAATGAGCACTCGTAAACTCACTCCCGACTAAAAGATTATAGTTTATATGTGGCAACAGTACGTTTCAGCTTGATTATGTTCTCTGAAATATGTCAGCTAATATATTTGGACTCAAGCTGAGGTTGACATGGGATAAGTTACACTTGTTTTTTTTAGTGCCAAGTATTCACTATGTGTGTGTGTATGTTGCAGGTGAAGACTAAGACCACGTGCCAGTGTGTTGAATTTTACTACCTGAGCAAAAAGCTCCAGGACAAACAGAAGAAACAGAGGGAGGAGGAGAACAGAGAAGCATTGATGGAGCAGCAGAAAAATGTAAGAAACACCTGAAAGAAGTGTTCAAATCTTTTTGCCTCTTGTCAAGATGTCCCAGCTGACCCAGGGAGTCTGGTTCCCCACTGATTGCATTTTAATATCAGCCTTCTGCTTTAGTTCTCGTCCTCTTTCTATCCTTCTCTTGTTTCCTGTTGTTGTCATCCTGCAGTTATTTGTCTATTCCCATGATACTCTGTGGCCTCCACTGGGCTATGCATCCGGATCTCTGACTAATAAGACTAATAGATTAGAAACAGAAGTAAAACAGAATAGTGGGCTATTGGGGTATTTGGAGTCTTGTGTAATCCGTTAAATGCTTTAAATGTTTATCCGGCGTGGAATGCAGCTCAGCAGCATAGTTTCTTATTGTTGGTCTTGTTCTCATAGATGGCGCCCATCTGTCAGCCAGTAGACAGACAGTTTGGCCTCGAGGCGGCAGTTCCTGTGCCTTCATTGGCCAGCTTCTTCCCCTGCAAGCTGTGTGGCAAGTGAGTTGGACCAATTACACTAAGCTCTCTGCGTTTGGCTTCAGAGCACGCCAAAAGATAGTTTAGAATTTCAAGTCTTCTTTTCAAACCAGTCTTCCCTCTCTCCTCGCTCCAGAATGTTCTATAAAATCAAGTCCCGTAACGCTCACATGAAGATCCACCGCCAGCCTCAGGAGGATTGGACCGACAGGCGGCTGCAGCACCAGCTCCTCAGCCAGCGTCTGGCTCTCAGTCGCCCCACCAACCTCATGCCCTCCCCAGGCAGTAACCTGCTCCCGCCCCTGGCAGCCGCTCTGACCTTTCCCTCTTCTGGCCTCGCTGGCAGCCACAACGCAAACGCAGACAATGTCCTTAACCTTGTAACCAATAGCAACTCCATCACTCCCAGTAATGGCAGAGTCCTAGATCCCAGCGCTGTGGTAACATATAGCAACATCGCTGCCACAAACTCTCGTGTAATCACCAATATCGATGGCGGTGACTCAAACCAAAGAGAGCCCACCACTGTCTTACCTCTCCACCAATCATGGGGCTCATATGGACATGGCCCCGACCCCGCGATCTTCTACTGCAACACAGAAGAGAAAGACACTATAGGAGCTGGGACAGTGGGGGGAAAAGAGCCAATCAACTGGCAGTAGTGTTTAACTCTCCCAAAGGCATTACCACCACTCAGACTCACCAAAGGTGTGCTTTTTTTATTCATACAAAATTTAAACAAAAACTTCAGTACTTTTTCAAATATTTCAAGGAAACATCATCACAATTTGTGTATGTATCGTTGTAAATTGTGTATTTAGATGTGTTGCATATTTAAATGTTTCTTATGCATTTTACATTTGAATAAAATCCGTAACCTCATGGTAGTTTTTGGTGTTTCTTACTTCTGTAAAACCACAATTACATGGATTAAACAAACAAGATAAAACATAATGTTCAGCGAGAGCCGGGTCTTTTTGCTAACCTAAGCTAACTGTCTTCTGGGCGGTATAGCTTCAAATTATGTTTTTTTGCAATTACTACATTAAAATTTTCAAAACTAGGACCCTCTTTGTCGAAACTCTGTACACAAAAATTAAAAGCATACAAAAAACACATTACATCTCAAGCAAAAGCAAACACTTCATTCAGACAAAATAAGAGAGTGTTTTTCATCTTCTCATCTATCTTTCAGGAAGAAAGTGAAAGTGTATTTTCCAAGACATGAAACTATTCCTTTTAACTGCCACACAGCCCTTTGAAAAAGTGAGGTTGAGCCAAATTGTCCTCACTTTCTAATAATGTCCACATTCGGAAAACGGTCCTCACAAAGGTAGGCAAACATGAGCACACACACATTCACAAACACACGCACACACACACACACTCACGTAGTTGGCACAACAATTTCAACACACAGCTTGTTGAAAGCTTTTGATATAACACCATAATGGGCTAATATTGACCTTGGTAGACCATCTCCTCTCTTACAGCTGTCTGTGTACTCGTGTGCCCAGAATTCACCTGTTGATGGTTAACTACTGTGATTGTGTGTGTTTTTGTGACTGTGTCCTGGAGGATGCCGGGAAAGAGGCATTGTGACAGTGTGTGGGAAGCCTCTACAGTGGCTGTAAAGAGAGTAGGCCTGTTAAATTCATTATGAGGTTGATCTAAAATACAGAAAATAAACAAAAGCACACTTAAGGATGATTTGTGTTGACAAAAAAAACAACCAGAAACAAACATAAAAATTCCAAAAGATGCATAAACAGCATCCTGAGGTGCAATTCTCAAGGCGGTGCGTATTCTTTGGTCCGGTATCTTTATGGGTGTTACTGCCACTGTGATAGCGATAACAGTGTTTGTATGGATGTGTGTGTAGTATGTACGTCTCTTTGTTCATGCTCATATAATGTGCCACATGGCCTTCAAGGTATCCTTTTTTTCTTTTTTAAAGTAAACCTGTAAGTAAACAGATCCATTGATATGTGTTTGACTGTTTTATGCATTTGTGTGTATGCACGTCCCTGATAAAAGTTCACAATGACCTATAAATGGTTCCTCTCCTTGACAAAAGTCCACCATGTCTGGCACAGTTTGTCTGCCCTCTTTTCTCTGTCCGACACTCGGTTTTTTTCTGATTGTTTTAAATATAGAGCATGAGGCGTGTCGAGATGACATACGTGCTCAAAGAGTGTCAGATTTGTCGTCTGTTCTTGCTCTGGGGTCCACATGCTCCTGTTTCAGTAGTTTTAACTTCCCAGAGGTATGATGAGCTGTGGCATTCTTGTTTTCACGCTTTAGTCGGAAAGTCTTTCTGCTCTTTTGGCAGCCAGCAACGGTCCTGAATATTGGGCTTTTTTCAGCGAGCACAAGCGTGTAGATAAAGGGGGAGTGGAAGACCAGACCAATGGGGGTAAGGGAAAGGGGGGAACGGACAGAGAATAAACAGAGACGTTACTGAGCAGTGGCCATTCACCTATTCATGCTGAGCAGCTCTTTGCCAGTTCACTGAGCTCATGCCCTGCACCAGAGCCCATCCCCCCCTCTTTCTCTCATTTGCTGCTTTTCCTTTTTTTTCCCCAGAGGCAAGAGTGGTCCCACTAAACAAAAACAGCTTTTTCATTCATTCCACTGTCGAGACAAGGGTATGACGCTTAGGAATGCCATACTAATAAATCAGCACATTTTTCCGTTATTAGGGGAAGTATTGTTGACAATGACTACTGTACATTCTTATCCAATATATTATCTCATTCCTTCCTAATACTACACTGCATGTACAATTGCAGGAATGTTGTCTTTTGGCACATTAATGCACACATCAGAGGCTAGCAACACGATTGTCCTTATCTCACTGAGAAGTAGCCAACTATGTCAAGAGTGCTCAGAGTACAAACCGGCTGTCATTTAGCGACACTAAGCAGAACTGCTGAACTCGTGGAACTGTAAAAGAAAGCAATTCAGAGTGACATGAAATTACTGTGAACCTTGACATAATGATTCACTCCCTTTTTACTTTTAGATGTCAGGACTTCATCTCCCGGAGAAGAAAGTATGAGAACTTGCTTTGCCCTTCTTTTGACAAATGAATGTGTGAAAGAGGTTTTCATCACTCGTGAGATACTGTACATGGAGGCCCACTGCTGTCATTGACACAGTTGGAGGTTGGGCTCTGTTATGTTATAGTTGGCACAGCCCTTGCATTATTATGGGAAACCTGGAACTATAAAGTGAATTCACTATGCCTCTGCTGCTGACTCTTGATGTCTTGTGGGGTGAAAAAGCATCTGCAAAAGCTATGCAAGGCCTAATATGTAATATGTAAGTATGTGCACTCATAGGTTGGTACATGCAGTAGCATTTATGCTCTCAGCTTATTTGCATACTAGGTCAGGCACTGATAAACATTGTATCATTGTGTCTTAGCTTTTGTTTTATATGCAAACATGCAATATTTTTTATTGAGGAACAGGCATAAAATGCTAAATTAGCATGCTAGAAATCAGTGTCTACAGGTCCTACAGGTCCCTGGAGGAAGTTAAAGGTCACTTGGATGGTAAATGTTGACCCCCACCAAACACCCTCTGACATTTGTGCACCCTTTTAAGTATGTAAAATGACATCGGATTTAATACTGAGAGTCTGTTATGTGAGGAAGGAGCCCCATAAAAATTCTTATGAGCTAGGTCCCGTGTGGCCTAGCTACGCACCAGCACTGGTGATGGGACACTTGCACACAGTGGTTGGCCCACTTGGCACGACTGAGAGCACAATTTTTGCTTCTAAAGGAGGTATGTGAGAAACTATGAGAGCATGGCATTAATCACAACCTTTAAGAGACCGCCTGAGAGAGACGAGGAGTGTAAGCGGCAGAGAAGGAGAGAGAGCAGCATGATTAAACTTCACTGAGAGAGCGAGTGTGAGGTAATCGGAAAAATAAATAGGTCAAAGTGAGGACAAATCATAGGGCATTTGAACTGAGCAGCAATCCCAATACTGCAACTAAGATTAGGTCTGTGTGTCCAACTGTCTATTTTAAATACATCACCGACTGTCTGGTTGATTTCGAACGCGTCCTCTTAGGACTGTCATTGACACAGACTCTGTTATATGGATGCGTAAAGTGAACAAACAAGAGTTGAGAAACAATCATTTTGTTTTCCAGCTTCAGGATGTGCAAATTTCTTTCTGGCTTAACTGTCGTTTTTTTCACTGAATTATCACAATAATAATACGGTGTAATAGGGTGTGTTTCCCCTTTAAATTAGGGAAGGATCGAGTGCTTATTTGCAGGTTAGGATCGGATGAAAGTATAGTTGTCTATTGTGCACTTTACAAAGCAGGACTACAAAGAACCATTTTAAGAGCCTGTAATCAAATCCTGTCCTTTTCAGCTGTTCCCTGCACCAGTTTTTTTTCTTTCTTTCACGCTGTGCTCCACACTTTAACTACTCACTTTTCCTCTCTTCTTTTCAGTGCGTTTCACTTTAAGTCTCTTGTTGAAGAGTTTACACAATCCAGGATAAATGTTTAGGATTAAGTTCATATCGGTTATTCTGATGTAGGTTGCGGAGAAAAGGAAGAACTCAACAAATCTAGTTTTATGAACCCCAAGTAGATATTAATCCATTCTTAATCTAGTAGTGTTAAATGTATCCTTCTTGTGTTGAACTGCATGCTTTTCTGTTCCACAATTGTGCATGTTCAACTGACCTGATATGCACTGACTAAAATAATCACTATTTAGCAATGGATTGAAATTAACACTGCCTCCTTTCCCCCACTAATCAATATCAGTTGACAGCAGACATTTTGACTCGTCATAACATAAAAAGCAAAAGCACGACCTACACTATTGATGGTGCTGTTTACCAGATTGGGAGCATTTCAGTTGCCTCTCAATGGCTCTCAACATGGCGACAGCTGAGCCGGCGGCTCTCAGCTAACAGTGCTAACAGTGCTGACAGTGCATCAGTTGGGATGGCATTATCAGCTGTAATCGCTGAAGGATCGCAGTGTTGCGGTGGGGCAGTAGGGCATGCTTTCATGCAATAACAGGCACTAAAAGCACACACAGCCAGTGCAGCTATGTCAATAATGCAAGGAGAAGGTTGGAATACAACACACACAGAGCGAGAGTGACTTCATTCTCTGCTCAGATAGACATTACTCCACTATGTCTTTACATAGCTAATAGTTATTTGCTGCTTCATCAACTCTCTCATTCCCATATTGCACCTTTCAATGATGTCTCATCCATCACATCTGGAATAACTGACTCTGAGGGCAGCGTGAGCTGTTAACACACCGGTGACACATTATCACCTTTTAAGTTGATTTTGTTAGCAAACCAGTTTTCATACATACTCATATTTCATATTTCCACACATTATATTTACCCACACAATACTGAACAACATCGCCATTCATTTGGAGTCCTGTTTCTGGCCACCTGGGGAATGTAAGTCCAATGTTCACTGTCCTTTTTGCTCTAATTTGGTCTCCCAAAACAAAAGGTATTTTAGCTGCTAAATGCACCAGCCAGTCGCTTACTGTGTCTTTCTTTCACACTGGGCAGGTAGCTAGCACCTGGGTAGCGCTTTTTTGCTATGAAATGAAAATATTCACACCTGTGCTTACCTAGCTGTCAAAATCATATCTGAAATGTGAGTTTGTAGATATCTTGAAATACAATATCTACTAGTAAGAATGTGGATATCTTTAATTACCATATTAGAGACACATAATACAATTTTGCATAACAGAATATAACAGCTATTATGGATATCTAAAAAGTAATTAGTGTGTATCTAATAAATGTTAAACCAGTTTGCCCTAAATGGGGTTATGTTGGTCTCGAGCTCTTTAAATACTGCCGCTCGATGCGCGCTGTCATGCTCTCTTCTGTGATTGGCTGAGAGCAGAAGGGGCGTGCCTGATTGCGTCATGTCAAGGAGAGGGATGAAGGCTTATGTGTGTGTGTGTGTGTGAGTGAGAGAGAGAGAAAGATTACTAGGGAGTATGAGGCAGGCGCAGTAGAAGACTTCCATATCCAGCAGACGGAGACAGACGGCGCCAGCTGCTAGCTAAGTTAGCAACTAGCTTCAGAGTCCTAGCGCCTTTGCAACATATGAGGGACTGAGCGAGAGTGTGTGCGTGACAGCGTGCGCTCGGCCGTCCCGAAGTCACTCCGTGTGCTTGTGTGTGTGTGCGTGCGCAAGTGTTTGTGTATATATAAACTCCCCTATCTCTCTCTTCGGAGCAGCAGCGTGTCCGTGTGTGTGTCGCGTTAGCAAACGCACACACAAACACTACGATACTCGACTGTTTACATTCGGTGTCCGGCTACTTGACAGCGGATTCACATCATTTACTGACACAGACAGAGCACCAGCATGTGAGTACTGATGGGTAACGCGCGTGTGTGTGCGCGTACGAGTCCTGTATGTATGCGTGTGGCTGTCATTGAGTGCATTTGAAAGACAAACCCTTTTCTTCCGGGAGTGTGTGAACGGCTACACGCGTACCCTTGCTTGTGTCTGTCTGTCAACGTGCATGCTGAAAGATGTTGCGTTAGCGTGGTCAGTCCTGTCACAGCAGCTACAGAGAGACGTTTGCAACATTGTGTGCATGGAGAACTTGTTTAGAAAGTAGCTTATTTAGCTACATTGTGCACACGTGCAACTTTGTTACTAATCATAGCAGAATGTATAAGTGGGGCCACAAGGCTCTCAGGTTGCTGAAGGAGGTCACTCGTAAAACTTTTCAATGTACTTTTGTATTAGTGTGAGTTTGCAGCATTGCAACACATGCAGCAATGGCTGCTTCTGTCACGGTTTACCCACTGCTACTTTTAATAACTTTAATATGGATGGTGAGGTAAAATGAAATGGGGCTCCTATTTACATGGAAATCCTGGCATTGAAGAGAGTAGAAGGCCCACGTGATAGGACCAACACTACTGCTTTTTATAGAAGGGCATGAAATGTCTGTTTACATGTTGGAACTTGTACTTTGCAGAACGGGCTTTGTTTTCTTGTAAGATGCACCCAAGGAGCTTGTAGCTGAGTGTGCAATGGCCTGATTTCCCCCCACAGGTTTTCTGTGTTGCAGAGATTCAATCTTCACCTTTGAACCCGTGTGTGTGTGTGTTTGTTGTGTCGGAATCATTCAACTGTACAGTTTGTCCCATCACAGAGCAGGGGGAGGCCCAGTGGGAGCGCTGTAGTGATCAAGCAAAGGACATGTTATTCACGGTTTTACATTAATCCTACAGCACGGATGTGATCGGCAGGTAGAACAACGCTGTAGTCTGCTCTCTTAAAGTGACTGTAGCGGCCTTGAGGGCTTGATGGACGTGTGCCGTTCACTCATTCACCTTGATGTTATTACTTGTTGCAGTAGTGCCAAGGTAATAGACTGAAAAGGCTCAAGGCAACTGGGACACACCCATCATAGTTTTATAACAATGATACAGAGGTGTCACGGCTCCCTTTTGCATGAACTTACACCTCACATCATAAATCTCTAAAGATGGCATTTGTGTGTCAATTTATTTCAGCCCCCTTCCAGTTGTCGGATAGATATTTGGATGTGCACTTGCCTTACCCTCTCAGCATTTTCTGGTCCCTCAGGGCCGTTGGCTAATTGGTTTACCTGATCGCTTGTTGAGGAGTGAGAAAATAATGAATGCGTCCTGGGAAACACTGGACCTTCTCCTTTTCATACTTCCAGGCCACCATCCAACAAATATCTGATGAGTGGTGCAAGAATTCAGCAATGAATCTGTCAGACAGGGAGGCAGGTGTTAAACACCAGTGGTGAGAATGAATAGCTGTGTCCACGGCACTTTAACTTTACAAATGACCCTCTAAAGGGCCCGACACCAAGATTATTTTTGCTCAAGTTTAGGTGAAGGATACTGCCAGCAGTGCATCTGTGCTTGCAGGCATAAATAAAAAGACTTCTCCATTACATGAAACGGTCCTTCAGCTGCGTCTTCTCTCAAGGTTTCGTGAGGTTAAAGAGGGTCTGGTAGTAATATGTCACTTGAGAAGCTCTCGTGCTCTTTGCAGCCCCTCACCCACATTAGCGCACAAGAACTGCAGCATGTACAAGAAATGTCCAAGTGTTCAAAATCAGCTACACATGACCCCTCCTGGTAACCTCCAGTTATACAGAGAGCCAAAGTTTTCACAGACGAAAGGTGAATCCAAAGCAAGCTTTTTAATTAACAATTGACATTTTAAGCGTTCCCTTTTACAGAGGAAGTACCGTTTGGCTAAATGTAGCCTGTAGGCTGGTTGAAGGGTTTTATGGGACATTGCCCTCTCACCCAGATCCTCTAAAGCTCTCTGATCAAGAACTTTCTCCTTTTACAAGAGCAGAGAATCTTTATATGAATCACAAAAAAAGATAAGGAAATGTCCATCACAAAGATAACATGTTAAATCATTTCCTGGTTTCTATTATACCAGTAAAGATGTGAAAGAGGGTCTAGGCTGAAATCTTGTGTTTATCCGACATGTTCTATCCTAAAGGAGCGGCCTGAAGCAGCAGAAGACTGGAGCGTCTTGTTGACTCAGCTGGTAAAGCGGCTGAGTGACAGTGAGAGTCAAGAGCAAGATGTAGCTGAACAGAAACACTCTGTATCAAATTGTTAAATGGTCTAGCAGGCTGATTGGTGAGTCACAGCTTAACCTCGAGTCCCTGCACCAGACGGTTACAACGGATAACCGGCTCCATTTCAAAGGACGACTCCCACCCTTTGCACAGGGTGGGAATCTCAGCTTCTTCCTTCTAGACGGAGGTGTATAGTCCCTCGGTGTAGAACAAAGCGCTATAAAAGCAACTTTGTTCCAGCGGCCATCACTGAGGTGAACAAATTATAGCAACAGTGCACAGATGCTAATGTACCACAACTTGTACTTTGTTACAGTTCTTTTTTTTTTTTTTTTACATTTGCTGACGTTGCGATGTTCAAATGAGTAACAGCTTCTGTTTATTTCTATTGAGAGAGTTGAAACGTGTGAAAACAGGGAAATATCTTTTGAATGGTTAATGATTTAAGGAAATTTGTTGCAGTAACAAATGGTAATTTTCCAGGTCCTTTTATAGTATTTCTTGTTTTGGTCTTTTCAGCAGAGTTTCCCAGACTGCTTGTGAATCCGATCTACCTTTCCACGAGCTCGACGTTCTAACCTTTGTGCCGCCGCTCCCACTTTTTAGTCCAGTCACAAGCTTTTGATTTTGTCTACACAACCGCCGTCAGCCACGGGAACCTTGTTCCTGCTATTTGAGCATGTCCTGCTGTTGATAATTGGCAACCCAAACGGAATTCCTGCACTCTTCCGTGCAAGGAATGACTTCAGGTTTCTAGTTTCTGACAGTCTGGGTTGTACTACTTTACTCAGTCTATTGTTGCATAGTCTCGGAGGGACTTTATTCATCTTATAGGAACTTCAAGGAGGACAGAAGCTGATCTTTGCTGATCTCCTGTTTGGTTTGTTTACATTTCGATGACAACTCACTGGAAATTATTGCAATTAGCACAGAAGGAATGATGCTGTTTGGCTGCAGTGAGTGTAAGGACAGTGATGGAGGTTAGCGACGGTAGTGTTTGATGAAACACTATAATTAGCTTAGTCCTCGGCTTAGTGGAGTAATGTTGTTTACCCGCGAGCCATGCTCTGTATTCTTACCTCACCTAAAATTATATGTTGATACAGTAAAAATGCCCTGTCATACAAGAGAATTCACTTGCTTTTAAAGCGATTTGTTCTCCTGCAGTTTGGCGCTGGGCAAGACTCTCCCAGCTCTAGTTTTAATGCCGGACTCGAGGAAAGGAATGTCAGTTATCCCAGGAATTAACTTTAAAGTGACAGAAATCTCTAGAAAAGCAGTGTGCTTCCTACCCTTTATAGTACACGATGCAGGGGACATCAACGGGGAAGGGGCTACTTCGACAAAATATCAAAGTCCATTTATCTTAACTTCTTGGCAGTCCTGTGTTTTCAAGAGGGTGTTGCACAGTAATACTCACCCCTTAGTCATAGAGAAAGTGTCATCTCATGCTCGTCGTTTGGTGCAAAGAATGAAAAAGCTAGATCCTCCATTGCCGGTGTATTGATTTGCCCCGAGATCAGTCAATCAAGGCAAAGTGAATGCGGGAGCTGTGTGTGTTTTTTGTGTCACAACATTGGCGGCCGCGCGTGTCAGAATGAAACTTTGATCTCCAGGTTAATGTGTGAACCAGAGTCGCCTCTGTTCTTTGAAGCCTCCCAACACACAGGCTGGTCTCAGTGACCTATGGCCTTTAGGTGGAGATTGAGGACGGTCTGATGTGTGCACGCGCGAGTGCATGTGTGTCAGACAGATATACACTGAAGGCTGAGCACGGTTTTGGTTATTTCGGAACTTTCCTGTGAGGACACTTCTTGTGTGTGTCAGGGAGAGATTTAGAGACAGGACAGCAGAGAGAGAGAGAGGGAGAGAGAGAGAGAGAATTTGGCATAAAACGTCTACCCAACTATAATTTAATTCAGTCCTTGTTTTGTGTTGCAGCAGCTCTGAAAGCGATGGTCAGGATTGAGACAGGGAGAGAGGTCGTACACTGAAGTTTAGTTTAACTTTTTCACAGTGCTCTGCCTGTAACGGAGATAGTCAGTGTGGTTTGTTGCGCAACGATTCCAATAGCAACTTGTTGAGAAACAGCCAAGCCCCGAACATAATTTACATTAAGTGTGCCTCTACTTGAGGTTCATACCTAAACGTTAACAACAATGCGGGGTCTGCAGCTGGTTTTAAGCCTCCAGATGTTGCTGTGTTGTGTAACTAAATGCTGTTGCTGAATAACTTGGGCCGGACTTCTGCCCCCTGGTTTGAATTGTTTCTGTTTCCTGGGAGGCGGACGGAGCTGCGGTGCTCCATGATCACGGCGACATAACTCAGAAGAGATGTTTTGGTACCTTTTTGTGGTATGAGGTAAATCATTGATTTCAATGTGCTGGTTTCAACTGGGATGGGTCGTTGGTATCTGATAAAGAAGACAACCCGTCTCACCCTGTTTATCCTCTTTTAGACTCGCTCAAACACAAAGGTCACATTCCTGTGTCACAGGTAATAGGGACCCTTTGGAACGTCTTGCTAGGGAAACGCAGGGTTCTGGCCTTAACATATCAGATAGATATTACTTCACAAATATCTCTGCTTAGGAAGTCTTGATGCTCGTTACATAAAACAAGTGCTTTACAATCAGACGAACTGCGATATTAATTTCGATTTGTGAATGAAAATGTACCAGTTGATGATTGGCATGATTCTGTGTTGGATCGGTCCAATCAGATCATATTGGGGTTAAAAGACGATGACTGATAGAGTTGTATCTGCTCAGCACTACATAATAAAGCTACTGTCGTTGAGGCGGCAATTGCTATTACTACTATCGTTTACTGACTGTAGAAATGTGGGGCGTGATAACATACTGTTCATTCCTGCTTTATCAAGCAGAGCCACTGAGCAAGTTGAATTTTATCGCATTTTCACTCAAGTGATATTGATTTTGGTTTTAGTAAAAGTGCGCGATGCTGATGGTGACATGATCATCTGAGAGCGTGAGCACTCCGTGAGTGGAGTTTGGTCCTGGCTTTTTTTCCATAGTGGTCCGTGCTACTGTGCTTGCCATGAGTCAGCAACAAATGGGGGTGTGTCACCGATCACATGGGCATTTGTTGTGGCTCACAAAAAAAACTTTCCATCATTGTGAAGACCGAGATAGGAGCGGGTTTATCTTTGTTCCTTTATCTTTAAGGCTAAATCCCGATGAACAGTTTTATTTCTGAAGCATTCTCCAAATACACAAAAGGAGATGAACCAGCAGGAAGGAAGGTAGTGAGCTACATTTCAAAACAGTTAAAGGGTTTCAAAAATGGAGAAATGACCGAGAAATAGAGGATATGCTGAGGACAGAGTAGTAGTATTAAGAAAGGTAGCGATAGTTTACGTCACGCTTCAAGTCGCCTGTTTGACAGCATCACTGTCTAGAAGTTTGTCCCCAACAATCATTGAACATTAGGAATGCTATACTTCCTGTTTCTGGGTGGATTTTCAGTCCTTAGATCAGCTGTTTACAACATCAGCATATTACGAATGTGAGAGTCATCACTGCCCAGCAAGTCTATCTCTACTGCAGGGCCACAGTGTCTGGAAGATTCCCAGCTTTGAGGAGATCAAAGAGCATTTTCGATTACAGGCCACATCTTAAATGAACCATCATCATGCTACATGCTGGTAATCATTTATTACTGAACTCGATGCATGCTGGTGCCGTGACTATTTCTGTTATTAGACGCGTTTCTGCAGAATGTCACCTTTTTTATAAACCGATTTAAAGGATTGCTCGTTTGGATTTGACACCCAAAGAGGAGTTCTGCTTGATTGTAGTAGAGCTGTTCAACATTCATCATGTGCTAGAACACTTGGTTATTGTAATATGTAGATAAAAGTGTTGTCTTTATCGGGGCTTTAAGACTGTTAAAACTAAGAGTCTGGTCCCCATATTCACCTGCTAATACAGTGTGTATCTATGTTCTTTCTTTAAATCAGACACCATATCACTCAACCCCAGTTTAGAACGGGTATACTTCTCTGGTAAGAAGCTGTGCTTCAGCTTTATTTGAGAGAATTGAATGCAGGACACAGGTGGTATTTGACCTGTTTTTGCCTGTCTACCTTGTCCTGTCCTTTGTTCCCGGTCTGCTGTTGTCTCCCTGTCTGATTCAGGCCTTGTGAAACTGTATCGGTTACAAAGTGTGACGCTGTTGCTTTTGTGTGGATGCAAGATACTGTTTCAGCCTGAGCTTCCACTGCGATCAGGCTGTCTGAAGGTTCTTGGTCCGTAGCTAATTCTTCATTCATTCCGTCACTATAAGTCACACATCGTTATATAAGACTCACCAATCTAGATTTTAAAAAGGTCTCACTGTAAAGGACATTTTGAGTGAAAACATTACCTTTGCCATCCAATCAGGCTGATCTAGTTTCTCAACAGTCAGTCCACATTCTTTACCCAACTTCACCTGTACACCTCTTGCAATGTGAGGTATTGAAAACGCTTTGGGAGACATGTTTCAGTGGGTGATTAATAGGAGCCTTTTTGGGGGGATTTAAAGCAGATAACCTGCTTCACACACATGAAACGGGTGAATTGAGTTATGCTGTTAGCTTTAATGCACTCATGTAGGTCATTGTTACAGTTTGTACAGCACCGACACCGCTGTTCATTATCTCTACATCTATACAGGACACATGTGGTAATTCACCTGTAAGTGAAACCCTGCAACCACGGGTAACAAACAGGAAGTAATTGTGCAGAATGAGACTTCATTTGGCTCAAAGAAATTGAGTTCTTTTTTTTTTTTGTCTGGGTGCACGTTACCGTGAACACATTGGAGAAGATGCCAGCACTTGTTGTGATCTGAGGCTCTTTAGATTAATGTCCAATTTATATTAGTCTAGGATGTGGCATTTGCAGTTGGTAGTGGTCTCCATTGGTTGCATTGCTGTTGTTTGACCACAGTGTGGCAGCAAAGCACTGTCGGTGAGGTGTAGCCTCGTCATCAGAGAAGAAGAAGAAGCCTCCACCTCTGCAGGCTCGCCATCAAACAGCTCCAGCACCAGTAAAGCTGCCTGTCTCCACACAGTGAACGAGCCACGCGCTAGGCTACATTTGACTGTGTGCGTTTGGTGATTATTGAGTGAATGCAGCCATCAAAGCACAACCAAAGTGTTGGGTGCAGTTTGTTTGTGTGTTGCATTGCCTCCGTCATGCTGGATAGTTGGATGGTTCTTTTTGTTTGAGTGCAGTCGTTCTAATCAAGTGAGGGCAACAGATTCTCAACTGAGACAGACTTCGGAGTATCTTGTTCAGTATGAAACATTTATTCATGTACAGCGAGCGAGTCTGTTCCACTTTATAGTTGCCGTTTAATTGTTGTGATTTGAGGAAAGAAACCTCACCACAAACGCACCGTGAACTTGCTGTCTTTAATTTGACGCAGCTGCAGCTGATTGGCTTACTCCCTCCTTCCTTTTATGGAAATCAAATCTTTTTGGAAGATGTTTTGATCCGTGAGCTGTGAGCTGTCATTCCAAGATTTATGCGATTGTAAATCTGTGTGCTATTTTTATTACTTTACAATGTTAATTGTGTTACTTGATCCTTTTATCATCGAATAATCAGCATCTAATCAGCATCTAATGGCTTCTGAGTCATATATGGTCGAGTCATATTAATATATTCTCTCCAGCCATCATATAAGCAAACTGACACGAGCCAAGTTACTTCTCCTTAGATTGTATTTACATTTTGTCTTTTCCCAAACTGTCGCATCAACAGAAGTCGGGGCCACAGTTCTACAATTCTTCCCTCATAACACTTTTTCTTCCCGAGAGCTGGAATTATCCAAGATTCCTACTAAATGTCAGGAACGCCAATTAAAATGTTTGAAGAAAATGCCATGAAAGGAACACGCAACCCTCGGCAACAACTTAATAGGGCTCGGCGCTTTAGTGGATTTAATCTCTGTAAACAAGGCTCACTCCTCTTGTTTCAACACTTTCAAAGCATTATCTTTTTAAAATATTCCTGAAAGCATCTTTCTTTTTCATCAGAGAGACCGCACGTAGCAAATGGTTTCTAGATGGAGATTATAAGACAATAGGAGTTCTTCCCTTCACTTATTGCTGTTGTATCGAGACTCTGTTTATGTTTAAACATTCTCTCTCTCTCTTCCTTCAGGATGTTGAGGTACACCGTGGTCCGAGGCGGCCTCGGCCTGCTGGCCGTGAGGAGGGCGTGTCTCTCCCCCCGCTTCTCCCACTCTGCCCCGCAGAGCGAGTATCGACCAATCAAGAAAGTCATGGTGGCCAACAGAGGTAAGACCGCCTCCACGTCCCATCGGCGCTAAATCACCACTGAATGAGACGAGCGATTCAGATAGCACCATTCAATTCAACAGTTTTATTTATAAAGTTACGGCATTTACAATCTTCTCTGGGCAAATGAACAGACTCTCAGACTCTTTAATATTTACTTGGCACGTACTAATATTTAAGCACACATTGTATGTGGGCGGCTGCACAAGCTAACTTTGTTTGCTTAATCATAAAGCGCTCGTTTCTTTTATTAGAATATTGGAAACGGAGGTAGAACTGCACCCACAACCCTCGCTGTATGCTAGGAAGTTGAGTTTAAGGGGTGTATGTATTAATCAGTTTTACATAACATCCCAGATGTTTTCTATTTATTTAAATATTACTGTTTATGAAAGCTAAAACAAATCAGTGTGACCTGTTTTATTATGTTAACATTTTTTTTTTTTCTTTTCCTTTATGTTCCTTTCTAAGCTGCTAGAAATGGCCGTCAGTGGGGTCTGAATGGAAATATAATTATGGAGAATCCAAGAGTTTTCTAAACACTAAGCAGTCACCAGCAGCGTCGTGCTTTGGTAATGCTTGTAATCACCGGACCACTAGCCTTTTGACGCTGTCGCGTGAGGCTGTCGCGTGAGGCTGTCGCGTGAGGCTGTCGC